TGCGTTCGTGATTTTCGTACGTTTAAGATGATAGACCTCCCCACAGGTCAATAATTTTGTTCATTGTTCGTTTCTTCTGTCCGCACAGCAATCTGATCCCTTGCCATAACCATCTCAGATCTCTAGCTCCCAGAACTTGCTTTGCGAATGAAGCATTCAGTCTTTTGATCTCTGACCTGATTTGCAGCGTAAGCTGTTTGAAAGTGGCATCTTGAACGCTAGTTCTTTTTGTCTTCTAAGAGCTTTTAGCCGCGGAGAGCATACTATTCCAGCGCGAACAAAAACTGTTTCCACGGGACCACATAAATTGGAAATCACATTAGCTGTTTCTGTAAAATGTTCAACAGAACAGGGAGATTGCTGAACAGAAAACCACGGGGAGATGATAGCAAGAGATTTCCTCAGGATGAGTCTGTCGGCTGAAAGATTCCGAATTTTCATGTTCATTTATTTTGTTTGAACAAAAGCGGGGTAGGCCAACCGAGAGTAAACCTTTGGTCGAAGATATAGGAGACCGTGGTCACTAGTCGAGATTAGAGCTTTCAGTTTGAGAGAGAAAACATGAGGGTGATTAGTAATACCTTAAACAAAACAGAATTTCCTCTGGTGGGTGTTAGAGAGAGATCTGATACACCGAAAGAAAATGAAAGTTGGGTTGATTCATGATTAAAATCACCAACAATTAAAATTAAACTATTATCAACTAGGGGAGCAAAGGAACAAATGCATCGTATAAAGAGGTAAATTAAATTTGTGAGCAAGAAGAGGCAATGTATAAATTGCTAATGATTGGACCCCGATAAGAGAAAACCTGAGTCGACATGAAACAGTTAGGCAGTCAATACCATAAGAGGAGAAAGCAAACAACGTTTCGGACTTGCTGCACCAATTGGAGTTAATGTAGGTTATTATCCCACCTCCAGACTTCTGTTTACTTTTTATCTGTCTTGTCGAAAACTTGTACAACCAGGTATGTTGACCAGCGAATCGTCTATGTTTTGGTTGCACCACGATTCCTGTATGAGGATCAAACACGTGTTTGTGTGCACGCGACAAGTTAGTAGATCCGTGAGGTCAGTCAGTTTGTTAAACAGTGAGCGAATGTTAGAACTGATTAATGAGGGAACCGTCATCTTCACAAGAGGAATGTATGCAAGCCCAGTCTGCCACCCGGCACGTTTGCGTTTCTCGCTCCGAGCAGAAAATCCAGTTCGGGTAGAACCACATGAGTTGGATGATACAGAAGAAGAATAAATATCCTTCAGGCGTAGTATTAATTCCCTGGAATACGAGCGTCGAGAAAACATGGCAGAAACCAAGCAATAGATTCTAATGCGACAGTGAACACAAACGTAGCGCAACCGAATGAAGGGCGCATCACCTTAGCCTTTATGAATTCTTCGTTTTCACTGTGGCATTGTGCGGTTCCGACAATCACACGATCGATCGGTTGGATGGTTCAGCTGCCACATGGGATATGATACTTGCCCAGCTANCCCAGCTAACCTGGAATGGCAAGCCAAGTTTCATCATTCGATTGACCGAATCCCGATTGCCGTTTTTCAGTCGACCTGTCTGTCTGCTTGCTTGCGCGTATGTCTACGAATGTTCTGATGTCCTTTTTGAGGTGATTACACACACTAACGAAGAGTTACCTACACAACATATTTTTCCCACAATAACAAACGGGAGACCATGAGATGCTTAAATGTAGCAAGAATAGTGAAACGAGTTACAACTACATGAGCTCTTGTGACAAGTGATTATTTGATGAATATAAAGGAATGGACCCGAGTGAAGAAAACGATGGGCTCAATCAAAAGTAACAAAGGTATCATCTCGTGAAAATTCAGGCGATTTGGCACATGATAAGCGCTTTTCCGATAAGAATAAAGGGAAATAACACGGCGAGGAAAATTACTAAAAGAATCAACAGCAATAAAAAAATGAGGAGATTGCCAACTCACCTCCGTTAAGTATGTTTTGGAAGATGGCCTCCGGAGTGTCATCCGTGAACGGTGTACTACCAGTAAGCATTTCAAACAGAATAATGCCCAAAGCCCACCAGTCGACCGCAGCCGTCTCTCGTGGTTCTGATGACGGAGTTGTAAGCATTAACAATTCCGGAGCGAGATATTCCGGTGTACCCAACAATCGGTAGCTCTGTAGTTTGCGTGAAGGACTGTTCACCTGGGACTCCGTAGATGGTGCTGGATGAGTAGCCTGCGGACTGAATACGATGGGTGACGAAGGAGGAGCGCGGGGTCCGAAATCACAACCGGAGAAAACTGTTGGGCTCTGAAATCGTACCGTCCCCGGTTGACCACGACAGTCGGTTCCAACTGATAGGACAGACTCGGTGATAACACTGAGTGGGGTATCAGCAGCGCTGAGTGAGGAATCGAAAGCCAACGGCGGAACGCGTTTTGGTTCGGCTCTATCCTTTTGGAAACGAACCACACGTGAAGCACAGCCAGATAAGGGTGTTTGATATGTAGTTATGGGAAAATGACAGGGGTGCGTCTGAAAAAAAGATACCAATTTAGAAAATGAGGAGTGGAGAAAGTTTTACTGCTTTAACAAGGAACTTTGACAGCTTGAAATAACCAAAGTGGTAAATGAAATTTATCTACAATTTTTGAGAAATACTTGGAAAAATGAACGTCGTCAATTATGAATTCTGTCAACGAAAAAGAGGAGGAGCGAATGCCTGCTACGTTGACTACTGGACAGTCGTATATCATGAACAGTGGGAAATTTGAATGCCATAGTCGCGAACTTTTGCTGAACTATGCGAACCGACCACTGCAGCTCGGAAACCAGGAGAGACAAACTACGTCGTCCCCAAGAGGATAGTTGTGATTATAAGCTGAACCATAACGCAACCGTTTAGCACCACTGAATCTTATGATTAACTGTAGTGGGCGATCGAGCACCGCATTATTCCGGCTTTTGAAAACATATAGTCCATATCTAAACCTGCAGACCAGTAGAAAGGCCTTTCCTTAGATTAAACTTAAAAAAAGAGACCGTATCGCAATATTGTAGGATTTACGACCAGGATGATCTCGCTGCATCTTGACATGGTGCACACTGCAGAAAACAATTTTTATTTACTAACGCACCAGCTCGTGAGGTAATACAACTCATTTGCGATCTTGTGTGGACGGAACAGATTCGACCGAGCTCAAATGTGGCTGTCCTCAGGCGCTTTGCTGCTCTGCACAACCAAATTGTCTTTTGATGTTCAAGGAAATGCATACAAGATAATCGATGGTGTCGCTGTGATCAGTTAGCTAGGCTCAGACCTGACAAACATGTTTATGGCACATCTGGAACAAAAGGCAATAACATCCGGTAGCGTGAATCTTGTTCAGAAGACACGTCAACGATATTCTTGTTATATACGAAAGCGTAGACGAAGCTACGATGATTCTGGATGAACTGAACAGAGTACACTCACATGTTCAGTTCAATCTAAAGGCAACAGCACATTCAGCGTCCTTCAAATTCGCATGAGAGAAGACAATCACCCGATCCATTTATGGACAGGAGACCTGAACAGACTAACATTTACACTTTGAGAGCGTTTTGTCCCAGGGGTATAAACTTGGTCTTGTTCGGACGTTATTTGACAGGATAAGACAGATCTGCACGAAACAGAACTGAAGAGTAACCACAAAACGTTTGGCAACTGTTAGCAAAAATGCGTACCACGGAGCTTTCGGTAACAAATGCAGCAAACCAAGAATTGCGTAAGAACCGGTTGCGTCAGCTGCAAAATTACGACACAAACTGCTTCTCAAATTCAAAGGTGATGGTGTAATCCTCCTGCTCAATAAACGATCAGGACTAGCAGTTGCTTGGACGTACTACGCAGCTGACTACCAATTTGTCTATCTGACGACTAGAATACCCGTAGCCCCAGCAAAACAGTATCTGCTTCTGTACACTAACATAATCTGAGCTACCAAATCCAGTTTGGGGGTGTAGCAACCTACAGGGCAGAACAGAGCGACCATCACGTAACCGGGCGGTTGAACACATTCTAAATCGGGTCCAAAGTCAGATGACGCAATCGAGGTCAAGTACGCTGCAAAGAGACGAGGGTCGAAATTACAAGACCGGGACATCAGCTATAGCTCAACACATTCGGATGACACAACACCAGAACGATCGAAGCACGGGGTTTTGGATTGCCTACAAGTCACGAGTCAAAGATTGCTAAGGGTTGCTGAAGAGATTGTAGTCAACCAATGGAAGCCCCCCTATAACAACACAAAGAACTTCGTGTGAGCTTGTCCCTACCTTGGTGACATGGTCTACGTTTCAACCACCCCCGTTTTATATTTTATTCTATCTTACTTTTCTTTGTTGACATGATAAGGCCCTATATAATCATTGCGTTTTCCGCAGCATACATCATGTTGAGATGCACCGAAATCGTGCAGGATATAAATTGTGCAGTATTGGGATATAGTCTTGTCTTTTAAGAAGGGTGTTTCTTGTGGGCTGAAACTCGTGGGACCTGACAAAACAGAATAATATTTTGTCTACTTCAGGGTTACAGTGAATTACAACGCGAAAAAGGCAGGCTTACGAATATAGAGATAATCTACTGTTGAAGTCCATAACGAAATTTACGGATATTAACGCAAGTCGTCGAAGTTTAGTGAGGATATATTGAATGTGAGAGGTTCGATGAACAATAGTATCGATAACACCCAACTGTTTGATAAAACTTAGCCGGAATACAGGCTCAGAGCA